TATTTGTGGTCGCGAATATTAGGTGTTTATGTTAAAATATTTCCTTAAGGGGCGCCTGGGTGGCTTAGTCGGTTAAGTGTCCGACTTTCGCTTAGGTCATTATCTTTTGTTTTGTGGGTTCGAGCCCCTTGTTGGGCTCTGTGCTGACTGCCTGCTCTGAGCCTGGAGCCTGTTTCAGTCTGTGACTCCCTCTCTCTCTGGCCCTCCCCTGCTCATGCTGTTTCTCTCTCTCTCCTAGAAATAAATAAAAAATAAATAAATAAAATAAAATATTTCCTTAAATGATATGCTTATGCTGTGTGTACCTGTTTGTGTTAGGGTTCCTGAACTTAGCGTTTTGCACATTTGGGGCTGGATAGTCCTTTGTTACTGGGGCCATGCTGTGCTTTGTAGGATGTTTAGCAGCATTCCTGGCCTCTATGCACCAGATGCCAAAATGTTAGAAGGAAATACAGAGTCTGGATGCCTGAGGTCTGTTCCCTTTCAGGTTCCCTGGCTTCAAGGAGGTCCGACTGGTCCCCGGGCGGCACGACATTGCGTTCGTGGAGTTTGACAACGAGGTACAGGCAGGGGCCGCTCGCGATGCCCTGCAGGGCTTCAAGATCACCCAGAACAATGCCATGAAGATCTCTTTTGCCAAGAAGTAGCACCTTTTCCCCCTGCCTGCCCCTGCCCCCTGTTCTGGGGCCACCCCTTCCCCCTTGGCTCAGCCCCCTGAAGGTAAGTCCCCCCCTCGGGGGCCTTCTCCGAGCCGTGTGTGAGTGAGTGGTCGCCACACAGCATTGTACCCAGAGTCTGTCCCCAGACATTGCACCTGGCGCTGTTAGGTTGGAATTAAAGTGATTTTTTTGAGGTTTGGTTTTTCACAAACATTTGTCGTTTTTATTTTCTTGTTCTCTGCCTCCCTTTCTCACACATCAGAATATTCTTGGGTGTTTGGACCTCTCAGTGTGTTGGGATTTGCAGCCTTGGGAAAACACAGAATAGGGGATAACTTTGTCTAAGTTTCAGTCACCTTTACTACTTTGGAAAAATTTCTATTTTGTCTCCATCAGCATTCAGAGCAGGAGATTGAAACCCAGTCTGCCATGTCCACTTGGGCAGGTTGTGTACTGCACAGGATTCCGCCTTTAAGGGTACACTATTCACTTTGTAGATTTGAATGTCTTTTCTAACATGATAGAGTGTTAAGAATTAGGTTTTTCCTTTTTTTTTTTTTAAATTTTTTTTAATGTTTTTATTTATTTCTAGGAGAGAGAGAGAGAGAGAGAGACAGCGTGAGCAGGGGAGGGTCAGAGAGAGAGGGAGTGACAGACTCTGAAACAGGCTCCAGGCTCTGAGCTGGCAGTCAGCACAGAGCCCGACGCGGGGCTCGAACCCACGAACCGCGAGATCATGACCTAAGCGAAAGTCGGACGCTTAACCGACTAAGCCACCCGGGCGCCCCTAGGTTTTTCCTTTTTGAGAGAGAGAAACAGAGTGCAAGCAGGGGAGGGAGCAGAGAGAGAGAGAGGGAGACGTGGACTCCGAAGCAGGCTCCAGGCTCCAAGCTGTCAGCACAGAGCCTGACGAGGAGCCCAAATTCATGAACCGTGAGATCACGGCCTGAGCCGAAGTCAGCCGCTTAACTGACTGAGCCACCCAGGGGCCCCAGAAAGAGGTTTTTCTTCTCTTTCAAAATCTTCACAGAGATGCCTTCTGTCATAGCAGCAGTCCCCCAGAAACCGCGTTAGAAACTTTGGGAAGTGAAGGAAGGGAAAGAGTACTCGGGAACTCACTGGAAGACTAGTAAGAGTGGCAGCCTGGCTTGGGGACACTTGAGTTCAGGTTTGTGACCTGTGACTGAGCCACAGTCTGGAGGCCAGGAAGGTACCACAGCCACTGACGGAACTGCCGCATCCCACATGGGAAGCCACAGACCGGACACAAAGGGTGTGGCCACTTCAAACACCGCCGATCTTCCTGCTGGCTGCCTGCCAGCCAGGAGCCTGGGGCAGGTGGCTAAACCAGCTTTGACTCCAGTGGCCCGGCTGCAGGGGAGTCTAGGAAATGTGCTTTGTGGTTGGACAGTCACGTGATCTAACTGAAGCTAAGGATGGAAGCGAGATCGAATGGCGGACGTTCCTTAGTAGCCCCTCACACACTTGATCTGGAATTTTATTTTATTTTTTAGAGCGAGAGCACGGGAGGAGCAGAGGGAGAGGAAGAGAGAGTTTTTTTTTTTTAATGTTTATTTTTGAGAGAGCATGGTGGGGAGGGCCAGAGAGGGGGACAGAGGAGCTGAAACTGGCTCTGTGCTGAACAGAGAACCCAACGTGGGGCTCAAACTCACGAGCCGTGAGATCACTACCTAAGTCAGATACTTAACTGACTGAGCCAGCCAGGTGCGTCAAGGGAGAGAAGCTTAAGCAGTCTCCATACCCAGCGTGGAGCCCAGTGCAGGGCTAGATCTCACCTCTGTGAGATCGTGACCTGAGCCAAAATCAAGAGTTGGACACATAATGGACTCAGCCACCCAGGTGCCCTGATCTGAAAAGTTTTTTTTTTAATTTTTTTAATGTTTTATTTATTTCTAGGAGAGAGACAGCGTGAGCAAGGGAGGGTCAGAGAGAGAGGGAGTCACAGACTCTGAAACAGGCTCCAGGCTCTGAGCTGGCAGTCAGCACAGAGCCCGACGCGGGGCTCGAACCCACGAACCGCGAGATCATGACCTAAGCGAAAGTCAGACGCTTAACCGACTAAGCCACCCAGGCGCCCCTTTTTTTTTTTTTTAATTTCTGAGAGAGAGAGAGACAGAGACAGAGTGCAAGCAGAAGAGGGGCAGAGAGAGGGAGACACAGAATCCAAATCAGGTTCCGGGCTCTGAGCTGTCAGCACAGAGCTCGACACGGGGCTTGAACTCACAAACTGAGATCATGACCTGAGCTGAAGCCCAACGCTTAACCTACTGAGCCACCCACGCATCCCCCACTCGGAAATTTTTTAATTGACTCAAAAAACACATATGTTGCTTCAAACCCTTCTTCATGCCATATAGATGGAAAAATGAGATCCTTTGCCAGAAGTAGAAAATTGACCACAAAAATAAATACAGGAAGACAATGTCAAATGCTGTCTTCTCCTACAAAGGCTCTAAGCCCAACCTTCTTCCTGCTCTGCTCTTTTTAAATTTTCGTTTATTTATCTGTGTGTGTGTTTTGAGAGAGAGAATCCCAAGCTGGCTCCGCGCTGTCAGTTCAGAGGCCCGATGCAGGCCTTGGAACTCACAAACTGTGAGATCGTGACCTGAGCCAAAATCAAATATCAGATGCTCGGGGCGCCTGGGTGGCTCATTTGGTTGGGTGGCTGACTTCAGCTCAGGTCATGATCACATGGTTTGTGAGTTCGAGCCCCGTGTCGGGGTCTGTGCTGACAGCTAGCTCAGAGCCTGGAGCCTGTTTCAGATTTTGTGTCTCCCTCTCTCTCTGACCCTCCCCTGCTCTCACACTGTCTCGCTCTCTCTCAGAAATAAATAAAAACATTAAAAAAGAAAAATCAGATGCTCAACTGACTGAGCCCCCCAGGCTCCCCTCTGCTAAAGTGGAACATGAGCCTTTGCAGCAAAGATGACTTACAGCACCAAATAGTCTTTCTCCTTGTAGGATTTGAAAGGGGAAAGGGATTGTTGTACTGCGGACAGCAAGTGGGAGACATTTCGCCCACCACACTGGGACCTCGAGTCCTGTAATCAGCGCATCCTGGTTTCTGTCGTCTGCCTGGTGGACTCCTTAGTTACTCCCCGAGAGCAATTGACGTCTCCACTCTAAGCTTCGTTTTCTTCCTGGGTGAGGGGAGAATTCCCGTAGGTTAATACTGTGGTATTGTCGGTACTCACCCCTGCCCCCAACACACACTCCCCCCGCCAGGCACTTAGTAAACACCATCACTTCAGCACATGCTTGCCGAGCACCTGTCGTGTGCTAGATACTGTTCTTGGGGCAGGAGACGCAGTGGTGAGTGAAACAGACTTGACTCCAAACACTGTCTTGGTACGAACAACAGGGTGGTGGGGTGGAGGGCCTGGGGAACGGTCCCAGGTGATCAAGGAAAGCCAATTCTTTGAAGGGACTTGTGAGCAGAGCCGGTTCTCCCATGGCTGCGGCGCCGGGTGTTGGGTACATAGAGATGGCTTCGGTCTAGGCTTTGCCTATCCTGGATTCTTCCCCAACCCCAAGCCCATGTGCGCCCAATCCATGTCCCTCTCACGGAAGTTTGGACTTGAGGCCAAAAGTGAGAATGCTTGGGGACAGAATTGGCCACCCAGGAGAATGACCTTGGCATGTGGATCTATCTGAAGTGTAGTTTTAGAGGTTGAGACAGGAGTTCAAATCCCCCACCACTTTCTCCTGAGCGGCAACTGACTCAACTCCACGCATGTGGTGAGTGTCCTTTAAAGGACTGCCAGCTTTCATTGTGCCTATTTTACAGAGGAGAAGAGCAAGGCTCTCAGAGGAGAAACATCTGAGCCCGGGTCACCCAGTCGGAGTGACTGCGAGGATAAACAGTGATTATGGTAGAGCGCTGCATGGCCTAAGTAAGACCTGGCATGCAATGCGTTGTCCTTCAGAGTGGGGGCTGTTCCTGGGCATCAAAGGGCTGCCTTGTTCCGTCCTTCACAGGAAATTCCAAGGTAGTTTTCTGTACCGGCTCCCTGTTTCTGTTCTCAGAGGGGCCCAGGTACCCAAGCGGACTCAAGATGGAATCGAATATCTCAACCTGCCTGTCTGGGCCTCTGACTGTCGAGGGGGTGGCTGGCACCTGGAGCAGCCTGGGCTGCTTCGGGCCAATGTGGGTATTTCCTTGGGCGGGCAGCCCTCACCCTGTCCTTGAAATGGTTCTGGCTGGGTAGCAGCCCCTAGGTGGTGTGGGCGAAATGTGGGACTGGTTTAGGGCGGAGACAAGACCGAGAACACAGGTACCCTTGTGCTGCTGGGGAGAGGGAGGGCAGGAGGAAGCTGGAGCCCCCATTTCCCCCCTGGTCACTCTCTTGCTCACGGTCCATGATGGCTGGGTCGCCAGTGTTCCTCGGCGTCCTCATTTTGCTGTCTGCCTTCCCCGAGCCTAGTGTGGGGGGCCGCGCCATGCCCAAGCTGGCTGACCGCAAGCTATGTGCTGATGAGGAATGCAGCTGTAAGAGTTGGGGGGTAAGGGGAGGGAGCACTGGGGGCTTGGATTCCAGCCTGTGTGGAGGGGCTGTCATCCCCTTCTGTTCCTTCCCCAGACCCCATCTCCATGGCTGTGGCCCTGCAAGACTATGTGGCCCCCGACTGCCGTTTCCTGACCATACACAGGGGCCAAGTCGTGTACGTCTTCTCCAAGCTGAAGGGCCGAGGGCGGCTCTTCTGGGGAGGCAGCGTGAGTCTTGGGAGGACAGAAGAGCAAAGGGTATGGGGCTGGGGTGGGGGCGCACCCTAATTTTCCACCTAAAGGGAAAATTTGAAGGGGTGGACTGAAATAGTTTGGTAGGGGGAGGGGGTATTGTGACCTACTTGATTTTTACTTTGTTGAGCAATTAGAGAGCATGAACTAACTATATGGTGCCAGTTTCTACGGACACTGAAGAAAGAGCAGCGGATGATCCCTTTTATTGGGATCAAACCATCAAAAACATCAGCAAATACATGCTCCTTTGAGAATTAGTACAGACTGGGTGACTGCCTCGGGTGGTCAGGGAGGGCATCCGCGCAAGTGCCTTGAAGCTGAGATCTGAGTGACAAGGATGGAGCCGGCCATCTGGAGACCAGGAGGAAAAAATGTACAAAGGTCTTCAGCCGGAACAATTTGCCATCTTCCCAGACCCTGGCTTTTGATTCTTCCCCTCCAGGTTCAGGGAGATTACTATGGAGATCTGGCGGCTCGCCTGGGCTATTTCCCCAGTAGTGTTGTACGTGAGGACCAGACCCTGAAACCTGGCAAAATCGATGTGAAGACAGATGTGAGTTCCTTAGGGGGGGCGGCAGAGATCTGGAGGGAGCACTCGGGTTGAGATGACGGGCAGCGATGCTCCAACCCTTGGTTCCCCGGGCCGCCTCGCTGTGTGCCTCGGTTTTCTCATCTGTAAAATGCGGAGTGATTTCTAAGTCCATGTCAGGTTGAGCGGTGCGAAGATCAGAGGGCTCTGGGCTAATTTGCATAGCATGTATTTGGCCAAACTGGGTTCTGCTGCTACAGCTTTTGCTAAAACCGCTAGATCCTTTGTGGTGTGACCGCTGGTTTTCTCCCCACTGTTTTCCCTTTCTCTTTTTCAGAAATGGGATTTCTACTGCCAGTGAGCTCAGCCTATCACTGTCCCTGCAGGTTATTTTTTCTTCTTCCCGGCTTTATGCAAATATATCAGCCAAGTGCAAACTGCGGGTCTCTGTGGTCTTTATGTGGGGGCGGCGGGGGGGGGGAGTGGGTAACAAAGGAAATGCTTCCCCAGGTTCCTGAATTTGGCCAGTCAATCCACTGCCTGTGGTAACGTCAGCGGTTGCTAGGCAGACTTCCACTCCCTAAAAGGTCTTTGCTCCAAGCTGGGTACTGGAGGTGGGCACCTAAGCTTAGATATCACACACAAGCAAATGAAAAGACGGAATAACCTGAACATCCGGTCGCGGTTTGTAGTGTCCGCTCTAGACCAACGGGAGGGGGAATGAGCCAATCGGACCATGAGGAAGACATACGTCGCAGAATAGAGGTTTTCACGGAAGATCATCTGAAAAGGGATGTGGGAGATTAGCCTGCGCGTATTCCCGCAGTTTCCATCCTTGCCTTTGAGGTCGGAAAGAGCCCTTGCCAACTCAGCACCCGCTCTTCTTCAGGGTCTTTCTTGTAAATTCTGCCCATGCCCCTTCTTTGCAGCTGTGTCCCCGCCCCCAGGTCCGCTCCTACCCAATCTGGAGTCTCGACTCTGCACCCGTACTCCTGACCAAATCCGTTTCTCAGCTCGGCGAGGCACCTCGGTGCGGTGCCTTCCCACTTGCTCCGCCAATCGCTCGTCTTGGTCCCGCCCACTTTGGCACGTTCCCCCCCCCCCCCCCACGTCGCCAATCCGCGCCTTCTGCCTCGCCTCCTGGCCTTCGAGTTCGCCAATCGCTGCCTTTGGGCAGCGTGGCCTGGTATCCCGCAGCCCTAGCGGGTCGCGCCGTAGGGGGGTGGAGGCGGAAGTGGCGGCGCCGGCCCCGGGAGTAGGAAGGAGCCGGGGCTGCAGCCGGAGTGGAGCGGCTGCCAGCCGAGGAGGAGGCGCGGCCGCGGCGCCATATTGCGGCCCCAAGCGGCCGCGACCAAGTCATGGCCGAGACCTACGGTGAGGGTGGTGGGCCGAAGCCAGAGTCTGGGGTCTGGGCCCAGGGAGGATGCGGCCTTTGGGGAATGGGGCGGGGCCTTATGGGGCAGGGGGCGGGGTCTGGTATGGGGCAGGGCCTAGTGGATACTGGGAGGGGCTTAGTGGGTCTGAGGCTGAGCTCCATCTATTTGGGCGGAGCCTAGGGTCTGGTGTGTGGGTTAAATAGATCTGGGGCGGGATTTGAGGGAGCCGGTCCTGATGGATCTGCGCAGGCTTTGAGAGAAAGGGTGGGTCTTAATGCGTCGGGGCGGAGCCTGAGTGGATGGGGTGGGGCTGACTGAATGGCAGGGGTCGAGCCTAGTGGGCTGGGAGAATCCTGAGGGGAGGATGTGGACCCTGGGACTGCTCTGGCCTGAGAGGTCTGGAGTGAGGTTGCGGATGAGTTGTCCTTGAATTAGGAGGAGGGGAGGGACTAGCGGCGAGGGGTGGGGCTTAAACTTGAGAATATGGGCAGGGCCTTGGGCAGAAGGAGGGAAGGAGGGGCTGAGAATTGGAAAATCCGGATGAAGGGAGATATTGGAGGTGGGAGGAGAGGGTGCAGTAGAAAGAGCACTGGTTTAAGAGTCAGAAGGAGCTACATTCTTTCAACAAAAAAAAAAGCATTGGGAACAAGTGCAAAGAGCCTGAGGTGGGAACCAGCTTGCCATTTTCAGGGAATAGACTGAAGCCCAGAGGCTAGAGTAGAGTGAATGAGAGAATGAAAGGAAGTGAAGTGAAGGGGAGGATTTCAAGATGGCTTTCATAACATAATAGCTAAGACTTTGAACTCTGGACCCAGTTGACCTGGGTTTGAATCCGAGTTCTGCCTAGTTGTGGGATCTTGGGCAAGTCAGTTAACCTTTCTGGCCTCAGTTTCCTCATCTTGAAGATGGGGATGACTGTTAGTATACGTCCCTCATAGAGTTTTTCTGACATTATAAAGGTAGCCATTGATGTAAGTAATGAACTTTAGAACTGTGCCTGGTATGTGGTAAGCTCTCTATAAGAATTAATCTGTTACCGCTGTTACCCATTGCTCTGTTTCTGCCTGTGTCTGTCTCCTTGTAACTGTGACTGGCTCTTGGTTTCCATCTTTTGCCCTGTATCATCCTCTCCCTGATTTTGACTCCACCTGCTCAGACTTCCTCTTCAAATTCCTGGTGATCGGCAGCGCAGGAACCGGCAAATCATGTCTCCTTCATCAGTTCATTGAGAATAAGTGTGAGTTTCTGGAAGCGGTCCCGGGATCACTGAACTGTGGGCATGGGTGTGGCGTGGGCTGGGGCAGGGGCGGGGCTGGCCAGAGGTACAGTTCCAGTGCTGGCTGCCTGGTCCTGGCCTTGGTTTGTATTCTTTGCTAGACCCTCCGTGAGCCTCAGTCACCCCCGCAAAGCAACAAGAATGGCTTTGTACAGGCCAAGGAGGCCTTGGAGGACAGGGAATCTTCTGAGCCCCTGCACTGCCTCTTCTCTCCCTCTCGCTCCCAGTCAAACAGGACTCCAACCACACAATCGGCGTGGAGTTTGGATCTCGGGTGGTCAACGTGGGTGGGAAGACTGTGAAGCTCCAGATTTGGGACACAGCCGGCCAGGAGCGGTTTCGGTAGGTGGGCTGGGCTCCCACGGGAGGTGGGGCAGAGGACAGAGGAAAGAAAATGAGGGAGGGTGCTGTGCAGAGTCACTGGGAGATAACGACAGGATTAAGGAGACTTTGAGAGGGCGGGCAAGGTTGAGGGAGAGAGACAGAGACTGAGTAGTTACCTCTAGCCAGAGAGGGCAAGTGTCTTAGAAAGAGAGCAGAGACAGCGAGAGAAAATGACGTTGAAAAAGAAGCCAAGTGGAGGGACAGACCAACAGACCCTAGAGAGACGGTGATAGATAGACCCATGTGGCTGGAGGGATGGACACCAGTACCCCGGGAGAGGCTCTTGGGGTGGGGGCAAGGGGTAAAGATAGAAAGAGAGAGATTGAAAGAGAAAGGGAAACTGGAAAGAGAGACACACACTCAGAAAGGGACAGAGAGAGAGAGACGGAAGACTGTGCAGAAGAGCAAGATCAGGGCGATAACGAGACACAAAGAGAAACAGGTCAGAGCCAGAGACAGGGAGGGTGGGACAGGCAGAGCCAGAGTGTAGAGAGAGGAAGGTGGGGCGCACAGTGTGTCTTCAGGAAATGGCTGCAGAAAAGGTGGGAGATGTGTAGAAACTCTGAGTCTGAGAAATGGAGACAGAGGAGGCACATGAGGAATCCAGTCCATGGGGAAGTGAGGGTCTGGGGCCAGCACATCGCCGCTGCTAAGTTAGTGCACAGATCCACCGTGTGAGAGAGGCAGATGGGGGGGCGAAGGGTGTGCGGCTTGCGCTGGGTTTGCAGTAAGTGCTCACTGAACGCTCAGGGAATGATTGCCTGAATTCCAGAGGGACCCAGATGGGGCTGACCAGGAGGTGCAGACAGTCAGCCACACTGGGAAGGGGGCCTTTCTGAGATGCAGCGGGAGAGGGACAAGCAGATGTAGTTGCAGAGCACTTGGCCAGGACTGGGCAGAGGGGAGAGGAGTGAATGAATGCATGAGAAATCAAGAGCAAGGGTGAGAGAAACAGAGCCAGAGAGACAGAGACACACACACACACACACACACACACACACACACGCACACACACACACACACGAGAGATGGACAGGAAGACACAGACCGGTGAGGACACACAGGAAGACAGGGACAGACAGACAGCTAAAGGAGACAGAGATGGAGGGAGACAGAGAGAAGGGAACTGTGGCGAGACCAGACCACACCGCCAGCTTTTGGGGGATGGGCCAGCAGTGAAGGGGGGTGTCCGAACCACCAGTCTCTCTCTGCAGAGGGGGGCAATCTCAGGGCAGACCCCAGCCTCGGGAGTGACTGGGTCCCCCTGGCCCCACAGGTCGGTGACACGGAGTTACTACCGAGGCGCGGCTGGAGCCCTGCTGGTGTATGACATCACCAGGTGGGTGCAGGGAGAGGAGAGGGTGGGGCAGGGAGGGCCCCGGCAGGGCCCCTGTCCTGTGCCCTGCCCCCTCCCTCCTCTCTCCCTTCTCCATAGCCGGGAGACCTACAACTCGCTGGCCGCCTGGCTGACGGACGCCCGCACTCTGGCCAGCCCCAACATCGTGGTCATCCTCTGTGGCAACAAGAAGGACCTGGACCCAGAGCGCGAGGTCACTTTCCTGGAGGCCTCCCGCTTTGCCCAGGAGAACGGTGAGGGGCCCTGTGGTGGGCCAGTGGGGGAGGGGGGCTCGGCAGAGGAGCAGGGACCGTCAGTGGCTGTGCAAAGTAGGAGGAACGTAGAGATTTAGAGGTGTGGGTTCAAATTCAAGTGTTGCCACACGTGCGCTACGCGACCACTCTGGTCCTGTTCCCTCATCTGGCAAGTGGGAGTCCCAGCGTTTCTGCCTCACATAGTACATGATGACTAAAGGGGTTTGGCCCATGGAGAGCCCGCTGCAGTGCCCGGATGTGGCTGGGTTTCTGCCGGTGCAGGGTAGTGGTGTAACGTGGGGGTTGCAATCCGATGGCCTGAGGGGACGGGCCTGTTGTATGAATGAGGGAGATAGGACAAGATAGACCCCAGGTTAGGAGGCCACCAGCATTAGGGGGCGTGGCCAGGACCGAAAGCCACAGCAAAAGGTGTGCAAGTATAAATTCACTTGAAAACTTCGTGTGGGCCAAATATCTACTGGCTGAGGGCCTGTCCGTTTTCTCCAGTTTGTAACCTCCAGGCTTGGAGGATGTCTTTCATCAGAAAGACGTGGGTTTGAGTCCTGGCCCTTACTCTCTGTGCAGCCTTGCCACATGGCCTGTGGTGGTCCTGGGCCTGCCCTAGATGGTGCTGGGGACATAGTGTGAAAGACACCCTGGGCCCAGCTCTTGTGGGCTCACCGCTAGTGGGTGGGGAATGGGGACACGGCCCTTTGCAGATAGTGACAGCCCAGAGAGGTCAGGACTGGGAGGGAGAGACACAGGGGGCTGTGAGAGCCCAGGGTGGGGCGCCCGATCCACGCCGGGAGGTCAGAGAGAACTTTCTAGAGGAAGAGGTATGGAGGCAGGAACCTGGGATGGTGGCCCTTCACAGCAGGGCAGCAGAAGCCCGACGTGAGGGCAGAATGAGAGGTGGCACGTCAGAGTCACAGGGAGGCTGGGGCCTGACCTAGGCCCTGTCCCCTAGAACTAATGTTCCTGGAGACTAGCGCCCTCACGGGTGAGAACGTGGAGGAGGCATTCCTGAAGTGTGCCCGCACCATTCTGAACAAGATTGACTCAGGTGAGACCCCGGGCTGCCCGGAGTAGGAGTGGGAGCAGAAGGCAGGGCCTGGGGGCCTCCAGGGGACCCATCTTGATCCCTCCCCTACCCCCCAGGTGAGCTTGACCCTGAGAGGATGGGCTCAGGCATTCAGTACGGGGACGCGTCCCTCCGCCAGCTGCGGCAGCCTCGGAGTGCCCAGGCCGTGGCCCCTCAGCCCTGCGGCTGCTGAGACGTCCGGAGCCAGGTGGGAGCCTGGGGCCTGGGGACGGCAGGGGTGGTGTCCTGGCAAGGGGGGAGTGTGATATGGAGCAGAGACAGAGACACAGAAAAGGAGAGGTGACAAGAGAAACAGAGTGAGAAAACAGAGATGCAAGAATAGTCCAGTGAAAGGAGCTGCCATCCTGACCTCAGGGACGTCC